TTTCATCTTTAGCTTTTAATTTGTATGTACACTGTACAAAGAAGAATACTTTAAAGGCGACCTGAAGGATGATTCCCTTTAGTTCTAAAGATCTGTTCGAAGTTTAAACACTAAGTTGTGTAACTATTTTAAAAAAATAAAAAAATAAAGCTTTACAGGGAACCACCTACGCTTGAAAAAAGGCTGATAAAATGGCATCATCCTTTGTGTGTACTCTATATGCGTACTCAATATGCGTACTCAATATGCGTACTCAATATGCGCACTCAATTTGCGAACTCAATTTGCGACTTGAAAGGAACTTGATGAAGCTGTACAGTACACATGAAGACTTAAAGGCAAGCGGGACAGTACAACAAATGAATCAGCCCCTTCTTTGAAAATTATAGTGCATTATATGCGTCCTAAACAACAAAACATAATTTAATTACCTTTATATCAAATCTCTAAACGGTGATTGACTTCTTGTCACTAACTTTAGTGTGTACAGTGCTTCAAGAACTGGTTTTCTTAGTACATGAAGTACATAAAGGTCTTATCTACAAAACAACCTGATGTACATATATATAACCCTGCGGGGTACAGTGACCAGCAGTTCTCTACACTCTAACTGCCCAAATTCAACTGATTCTCCGTGGTCACATGTGGTGCCCCCCCCCCTCTCCCTGCTCAGGGGGAACTTTACCCCATAGTTCATATTTCATAGATATCATAACACACCNGGGGACAATTGTCCGACAGTTTTCAAATTGGGGACAATTGTCCGACAGTTTTCAAATTGGGGACAATTGTCCGACAGTTTTCAAATTGGGGACAATTGTCCGACAGTTTTCAAATTGGGGACAATTGTCCGACAGTTTTCAAATTGGGGACAATTGTCCGACAAATATGACGTCATCGTAGCAACTAGCAAAGGAGGACATTTATCTGAATTTTGTCCGAACCTGATAATCCTGAATCACAAAATACTGTAAAATGTTCAGAGCTGAAAACTGTAGAATGGTGGATACCGAGATTAATACTTGATCCTCTCTTTTTCTTAATCTCCAGATTAAATAATGCTTGTTCTCCACTTGTTATTAATCTCCAGATTAATTAACCGATTGGGATTAAAGATATCCCACTCTTTCAGCTCATTACACTTTCGTCTCAGTTCGTAGCAAGGAATATAAATAAGGAACCCCCGTACATATGTTTGTAAAAAAGTGTACATTAAATTTTCTTTATTGAAAATTATCAAACTTTACACTAATTACACTAGGTTTGATTATATTGGTCTCAGAAAAGGTTGTTTCGAAGTAAAGATTTTTAAATTCTAAATTCCGAGGATCCTTTGTTTATGTTGATTGGATGATAGGCGAAGGATTAAGTGTAGAATCCCGAATACCAGACACAAACTAACAGAAGAAAAGATTAAAGGAAAAGATAGAAATAGAGAAAGGAGAATGAAAAGATTGCGATATATGTTTGGAACATTTTTTCGCTAAATAGAAAGAATGAGAATTAAAACTTGAATAACATTTTTTGGTAGTAAAAATTAAGGAAAAAGATGAAGTAAAGAATAAAGGAGGGAGTAAACAACGTATTTATTGTGGTTGGTATAAGATGAAGAAATTAAAGGATAAGAGAGAAAACCACGAAAAGTTCATCAATTTTGTATTGTCTTTCACAAAACAAATTAAGGTACAGGGTTGCCCACAAGGAGACGACTGTACGGAATTAACACTGTCTGTTTACTTATATTTAGAATTGCCTGCTAAACTGTAAATATTTTTCTTTGCTTGCCAAATCATCAAAATGACCAGTAAAGACTATATTCATGACAAAAAAACTAACAGAAAAAGATTAAATGAAATAGAAAGATAAAAGAGAAAGAATCCCAAGAGAGTTTTGTAAATGTCGTCTTCTACAAAACAGATTAAGATGGAAGGAAAGACGAAACGATAGGAAACCAAGATAGGTACAGGGTGTCCCACGAAACATGAAAGTTTTGAATGTCGTCTTCCATACACTATATTAGATAGTAAAGGCTTTATGCAGTTTTTTTCGTTTAAAGAATCTTTTGCTCAAATATATTTTACTTTAAAAATAATTTTGCGATGATATGAATCCCATAAGATATTTTTATTATTGTCTTTGGTATTAAACAATTTAACAAATTATGAAAGAAGACATTCTAAACTATTTACCAACTGTCAAGTTTCGTGAGAAAATGATTTATCTTTTCTAAAGCTAAGATGAAGGAAATTTCCTAAATTTATTTTTCATTAAAACTAAGAGAACTTAAGGAATTAGACATTAAAAGCGTTGTGTAAAAAATAGAGCTACAAAAAAGGAAGTTATTACATAGCTACAAATAGTTTTTGTTTTGTCAAGTGGTTTGGAAAATTGCAACGTATCAATTCATATTTTGAGATATTAATTAAACGTATTCGCATTTAAGAAGAAAAAAAGCATTAAAAAGTCCTATAATTATTGATTAACCCAGTACAGTGTGGCTCAAAAACCGATTAAAATTTTTTTTCGGCCATTAGATTTTTTTAAAGTCCCGAAAATGTGCCATCAAACTATATTTAATCTTGGAGGGGGTATTGTGGTAAAGTATTTCCGTTTGACGCTTTCATTTGGCGCAAAACCATTTCGAATATTCTAAAATCTATTATTTAAATCAACGTTGTAGAGAAAATAAACAAATCAAGTAGAAATAATAGTAAAAATACATGATTTTTTTACGAGAAAGTTTATATTCTAAATCATTTCTCTACGTGCCATTTGCTGCTATGCAAAATATTGACCTAATTCTAAGGTCCATCATAGACACTATAGGCCATAGAGCGGTGATGGATGTTTGGGTGAAAGAGATCCAGACTGCTCTGAACATTTGCATCAAGACTGTATAGTGTATACCGACTTTGCATTATTGCAAAGCCTTGGTCTTTAAGTTTACTAACTCAACTGTACGTTTGTGTAGGCCTAAANTCTCCTTCATCCCTCTCCTTCATCCCTCTCCTTCATCCCTCTCCTTCATCCCTCTCCTTCATTTCTCTCCTTCATCCCTCTCTTTTACCCCTCTCCTTCATCCATCTCCTTCATCCTCTCTTCCATTCCTGTCTCTCATTCATTCATTCTTCTCTTCCATTCCTTCCTTTCGTTCATCCCTCTCTTCCATTCCTCATTCCTCCTTCATCCCCACTCTATGTACTTCAATCCTCTCTTCCATTCCTCCTGTATACCTTTTTTTAGTCAGAATCTCAACCTTTTTTACAAGTTAAACTACAGAATAATCCACAATATTTGTAGCAGTTTAACTCATTTTAGGACATTTTACTCAAAATTCAAACATATTTTGCTTAGAGTCGTATTACACTAAGCTCCAGTGGTATGCAAGGATATTTGAAAACATTTAGCTGAAAATTTCCATGCCAGGGTGTCCAAATTAACGTACATTTAAGAATAATATTCTGAACCATGGGGTGTCCGAATAAAATAGAATGCATATATGCATATTGAATATATAGATATATATATTTATATTCTTTGCTTGTCTGTCTGTCCGTTTGTACCCAATAACCGTTAAAACGGCTAAACCGTTCTGGCCAGCAATTTGCCTTGGGAAAATAGCGATTTTCAAAATCACGAAAAAAATTAAAAGTTAAAATCGAAGATGGGCGCCTAGTTTCTGAATATTATTGTAAAGATAAAATGACCAAAAATAATATTTGCATATTAAAAAATTATATACATATAGTATATATTAAGGATGTGGAAAATGGTCAACATTAAAAATAAGTAATTTGAAGCAGATAGCCAAACTTATAATAAAATCACCAGGGTGACATCCAGAAGTGCTAAATAATCCAAGACAGTGTGTTAAAAATTTCGTTAAAAACTTCAATTATTTTTGTAAATATATTTTTTAAAACACACATTAAATGTCCAACTAACCCCTCCCCTCCCCTCATCTTTATCTGTGCTGCCAAACTACGCATTCTGTTGATCACCATGATTAAACCTAATCAAGGATCATTGAGTCTAATCAAATTCGAATTAGATCCTGGTTCAACTCCAACCCGTTAATATGGAACTATCCTAAAACATCCAGTGAATCCAGCTATAGTTCAGATTTTATATTCCAGGTTCAACNGAATATTTCCCCACCAATTCAAAAAATATATAAAATTAAAAGCAATGGGAAAGGAAAGGAAAGAAAAAGGAAAAGGAAAGTTACATATTTATTGTATACATTATATTTAATATAAACTAGTGCTGGATTGTTAGTATTTTTCGAAGATGAACTAACAACTTTTAGAAATAAACACAAGACGGATGTCACACTCATAGCTTGGCATGGGATCCCTCTTTCACATAAAATCAATAAAATATTTTGGAAACTTTTATGTGAATTATCAAAATTTTCAAAATTATCAAAAATAAATGCTTTTATCCTCCTCGGATACTAGACCAGCACTAATGCATCTTCTTGTTTACAAATTCCGCCCAGAGAGAACTGGTTTCAATATGTACTTTCCTAGCATTAGTACCTTGACTGCATCTACTATCTAGGGCCGGAGGTAACTTTAGTTTAATAAAATCACAAAACCTCTTTTAAAACATGACGGCCTTTTCACTACATGGGGAAATTGAAATTCCTTTTCTTGTGGTTGAAATTCTGCGAAACAAAAAGACAGAAATTAGATCCAAAAATTATCAGCGAGTCTTCACTTTCGATCCCAATTTTCTTTTAAATTTCAAGTAAACTGCCCCTCTCGGCCCCCCTTCCCTGTCCCTAATCTAGAAAATAATGTTTATCTAAGGAATGCTAAATGCTTCCTATGGTGGTTGTATACTGTAGACTTGTAGATTATGGAAGTTAAAACCACATTTTACTCTTTCACAATATATTATACAACCCACAGATTACACAGATAAGACCTGTTCTTTTGCACTGTAGTCTTCTTTATCCCTGTTCACTCTGAAGTAAAAACGTTTGTGTAAAATGGCGTGAACCTATACAGGGCTACCCACAAAGGATGAGACTGTAAAGACGACCCAAAACTATAAAAATATGACAATTTGAAGCTTGGTTTTTGGTTTCTGCATTCAATTAAGTATTTTGAGTTTTAAGTAAATGATGAAGAAAATAAATAAGTAGTTTTTGGTCTACAAGGAACCCTGAATGCAAGAAAAAGGACTAAACAAATTCTGTACAATCGTCTCTAAAGTCTCATCCTTTGTGGGTAACCACGAACATGCACATGCAATCTCGATATCCACTATGTTAACTTTTAATTTGAGAGCAAATGCTTGATATCTTCATATTAGTTATACCCTGCAGGGTACGATCACTATGGGATATACGAGATGAATAAAATTAAACCTATAATATAGATATATGCAAGATGGAGTTCATGACCTGATCCCCAAATTCACAACATAAAAGTTCAATCAATCCTGAAATTTCTTTATTGTTTTCTCCATTCTTCTTTTATGTATTACTGCTTTCTTCGTTTTCACATTTTTCCCATATTCCACCGAGCTCTACCCCCCCCCCCCCC